CACTCGACAGCTTTAAAACCTGCCTGACGACACAACTTTTAGTTCCTTTGTTTCTGTCATGATTTTGTGGTGTCGGTTTGTCCAGGACGTGACACCGAGCGCTGCTCTCAGACTCTGACACAGGTGCAACTCTGTCAGGCTGGATTTAAGAAACAAGAGCTTCAAGCTTAAAAAACAAGTTCGGCGCCATTTCCTGTCAGTGCGGAGATGTGACGTCACCAGATTGGTTGGTTGGGGTCAACAGACTCACATTAGTCACTACATTACCCTCCAAAGCTTGGTGCCCCCCCAGTGCATCGTCTTAGTGTTCCCGAGGCTGCTGTCACAGCGTTTCACAGCTTCCTGTTAGCACGTACCTCTGTTCTCCCTGACGGCCAGCACTGATGCATCCTGGGAGGACAGATGAGAGGAACCGTCAGTGAACAAACTCACACCCTCACCTGCTCCTCGCTGAAGCACACGTTTACCTTCAGGACTTTGGGCTGCAGGCGACAAGGGCACGCCGGGAGCTGGTTAAGGGCCGAGGTCACGTCGGGCGTCTCCACGGCAGCCAACGAGCTGCAGAGCGCCTTCACGGATTGGACGAGGCGCTCCACGTGCAGCGGCAGCTCCACCTTCACAGACGACAGGACAGAGGAGGAGGCTCAGCGAGCAGCTCTGAGTCTGACTTTGTTTTCATGAAATCTCTGATAGATTCAGTTTAAGCTCCGCCCCTTCACATTCATGAACTCAAACCAACGTGAACACAAGACGCAGCGCAGCGCCACACGTGTGTGTGTGTGTGTGTGTGTGTGTGGCGTCACCTCTGACAGCAGGAAGGACTCGGCCTCGTTGTGAAACGTGTCGAGCAGCAGGGTCAGAGCCTCCCTGATCGACAGACACAGATGTTATCAGTAAATCGCTGATTGATTGATCAGCTGTGCTCTGCGAGCTGCGGGCTCCGCCCCTCACCTGGTGACTGTCTGTTTGATTGGACGCTCCTGCAGCAGGATGCTGTGGTTCATGGTGGACGCCGTCTCATCGTCATCTTTCTGTAAAAACAAAGACTCAGATCATGCAGTGGCGTGACGATGATGGCGATGGGTGACCGGGTCACACCCTGGCTTATGTGCTGTGTGAGCGTGTTTACGTGTACCGTGCGGGCCAGCTCGATGCTGATGGACGATCTCTTGACGAGGCACAGCCGCACGTCCCAGTCGAACTTCAGACACTGCTGAACGAACTCGAGCCCACCCAGAGTCTGCGCGCTGACACACAGGAAGACACACAGTCAGACACACACAGTCGGACACACACAGGGCACGATACTGCTTCCTCTAAGAACCCCTCCACAATAAAAGCAGCTGGACTGAGTGGATTTCTGAAGCTTCACAGACTTTGGGCCCAGCCGGTTTAACAGGTGAGGGTCAGACTGGCTCTCGTCGTATCTGAGGGAGTTTAACAGCTGCAGTGTTTAGTCCGTTTAAAGCTCTGGTTCGATCCCCTCGGTGCAGGCGTGAACACAGAAACCACACTCGGCTGCAGACCAAAATGAGCGATTCGCTCATGGTGCGAACGTGACCCGACCTGAACCAGCTACCAGGAACACGTCACAAGCTGGAGCTAAGAAAGGTCCCGCAGCCGTGTTTTTGTGTTCTCACCCTGCACAGGTCTGCACAGGTCTGCACAGGTCTGCACAGGTCTGCACAGGTCTGCACAGGCCAGCAGCAAGCCCGGAAACAACTTCTCAGGTTTCTCCCACACACCTTGTTCCTGTGTTTACCTGTGATGGTCCCCAGACACACCTGGCCAATGAGCAGACTGAGCACTGATGTGGTTTGTACTGACACATTTCCCTTTGCTTCACTTGGATTTTTCTCTGTGTGACAACAAACCAAACCACAGGAAGAAGGTGAAGAAGTTTCAGCCCTCGGGCCATCGCTGTGTCACCTGTACATGATATACCAGTCTATGCAGACGACACACAGCTGTGCTCACTGCTGCTCGACTGTCAGTCCCAAACTGAACTGAACAGACGAGACAGATGTTTGCTCGAACAAATCTCTGATCTCAGGTCTGAAAAATCACATCGACAAACTTATTCACATCTGAAACCGGG